TCTGTCTGTCTGTCTGTGTCTATCTGTCTGTGTCTGTCTGTCTACCTGTCTTTTTCTCGCTTTATCAATCATATTTTTTTCAACTTTTCATTCTTTTCTCTGTTCCTTTTTGCTTCCTTTTCTATCTTGTTTATTTTTCCTCATGTTTTTCCCTCGCCTGCGGTGGTCAGCTGACGTAACCTGAGAGTGTCTTGCTCCTTAAGTTTTACGAGCTGCGAGTGAACCTTGACTCAGACCAACATCACACGATTCACACCTCAGTCACATCAACTCAGACCAACATCACACGATCTTCACATCAGCCACGTCATAGCCGCTTAACAAACAGCCGGACAAATTTTTCATTTATTTAGTTGTGTTTATTCTGCTCATATAATAATATTATTGGGAAAATCGCTAATAAGTCCTGGTCATCATGAGAAGGTAAAATAAGGTGGAGGTCTCTCTCTCTCTCTCTCTCTCTCTCTCTCTCTCTCTCTCTCTCTCTCTCTCTCTCTCTCTACACGACCCGATTACGAAAAATACTATGACTATAACTCCTGGAATTTATTTTTTGTATCCCAGCAGTGTCTGTCTGTCTGTCTGTCTGTCTCTGTCTGTCTGTCTGTCTGTGTGACATTATGAGACTATAGACTCAACTCACTCGACAGCAGTTTTCAGCGTGTTTTTTTTTTTTTATGCATAAGTACAAGTGGTGCGTTATGGATGGGTGATGTGCGTGTGTGTCAGATTGATGAGTCTTTCCGTCCGTTCATCCGTCCGTGTGTACCGTCCCTTTGTCCATCAACCTGTCCTCTCTCTCTCTCTCTCTCTCTCTCTCTCTCTCTCTCAACCCATCCATCCATCTCCCCGTCTCACCTCTTGGACCAGAATATATCTTCCTCAGCTTCTCCTCCTCTCTATCACTCCCCTTTCTTGTCCATCTCCCCATCCTCCCTCCATTCCTGTTCATCTTCCCATCACTCTACTTCCTCGTCTTCTCTTCTCTTCCTTATCATTCCCCCTCTTTCCCCATTTCATTCCCTTTCTCCTATTATTTCCCCCCTTCCCCATTCCTCTCTCGTCCTCCCATCCTCCACTTTTCCATTCCTCCCCTGTTCTCTCCCTCCCCACCTCCTCCCCGTCACCTCCTCCCCTCCTCCACCTCCCCACCTAACCTAACCCAGGAAACTGCCAGAGTCCTCACCTCTCTATAAAGTTGCCGCCTCACAGCTAGCTCAAGGGCCATATATCTTGTGCCTGAAAATAAGACGAGGCGGCCTCCATTCAGAGCAACCACAGCTGAGACCCTAACGGAGGAGAAGCCGAGTCTCTCTCTCTCTCTCTCTCTCTCTCTCTCTCTCTCTCTCTCTCTCATAATACTTACATGTAAACGTGCGTGATCTATGTACCAATTCAAATGCTGTATAATCAACTTAATAATATTTCATTAAATATTATTGTATTCAGGGCATCGTATAAATTCATTAAACACAATATATATATATTTTATTAATTTACGTTAAATAATCATAATGAGAAACTTTATTCGTTAGATACAAGTATAGATTTAGGTCTAAAGTACAGGTAGAGTTATTCCCAGGTGTTGACAATATTATAAAGTTGGTATACCTATGTTATGTATAATAATCATTTCCCCTTCACTAACTATTGCTCTGTATTCATCAACCACCTATCACACGTCTCCCTTTATCTTTTATTATTTTTATGTCCCACTGTCAGTAAGTCTATCAAATTATTCTCCCATCTCGTAGTTACTTGACAGCTTGTCTATCAGCCTTGAACTTTTCCTCTCCGTCAAACACCTGTCACATTTCGAAGATTTTTCCCGTCCGTACGTTGTTATTTGACCGATAAGGTCATTTCAGTAAATTATCTCTCGTAAAGTTCCATTGAGGAGAGAGTGAGAAAAGGGTTGGTGATTGAACGTCTTGCATGGTAAGGTTTTATAGCTAATAAACTTAAGATTCATTAAGATTCTTGATCAAGTTCTTTCGCCATCACTCATGACCTACAGCGATGAAGAAGATTTACAGTAGTTCCTCGCAGATTAGTTCATGACTTTAGTTGTGGTACAGCAGTAAGGGGTAGTACAATACACACAGGTGGTACAGCAGTAAGGGCTAGTACAATACACACAGGTGGTACAGCAGTAAGGGGTAGTACAATACACACAGGTGGTACAGCAGTAAGGGGTAGTACAATACACACAGGTGGTACAGCACACACACAGGTGGTACAGCAGTGGTAGTACAATACACAGCAGTAGGGTAGTACAATACACAGGTGGTACAGCAGTACACACACAGGTGGTACAGCAGTACAATACACACAGGTGGTACAGCAGGGGGTAGTACAATACACACAGCAGTTAGTACAACACACAGGTGGTACAGCAGTAAGTACAATACACACAGGTGGTACAGCAGTAAGGGAGTACAATACACACAGGTGGTACAGCAGTAAGAGTGTACAAAGAATACACACAGGTGGTACAGCAGTAAGGGTAATTACAATACACACAGGTGGTACAGCAGTAAGGGGTAGTACAATACACACAGGTGGTACAGCAGTAAGGGGTAGTACAATACACACAGGGTGGTACAGCAGTAGGTAGTACAATACACAGCAGTAAGGGGTAGTACAATACACACAGGTGGTACAGCAGTAAGGGATAGTACAATACACAATACACACAGGTGGTACAGCAGTAAGGGTAGTACAATACACACAGGTGGTACAGCAGTAAGGGGTAGTACAACAATACACACAGGTGGTACAGCAGTAAGATAGTACAATACACACAGGTGGTACAGCAGTAAGGGGTAGTACACACACACAGGTGGTACAGCAGTAAGGGGTAGTACAATACACACAGGTGACAGCAGTAGGGGTAGTACAATACACACAGGTGGTACAGCAGTAAGGGGTAATACAATACACAGAGGTGGTACAGCAGTAAGGGGTAGTACACACACACAGACAGCATTACAATACACACAGGTGGTACAGGTAAGGGGTAGTACAATACACACAGGTGGTACAGCAGTAAGTAGTACAATACACACAGGTGGTACAGCAGTGGGGTAGTACAATACACACAGGTGGTACAGTGTGAGTACACACACAGCAATACACACAGGTGCAGTGCAGCAGTAAGGGGTACAATACACACAGGTGGTACAGCATAAGGGTACAGCAGTAAGTACAATACACAGGTGGTACAGCAGTGGAGGGGTGACACACAAACACAGGTGGTACAGCAGTAGTACAATAGTGAGTACAATACACACAGGTGGTACAGCAGTACACACACAGGTGGTGCAGGTGGTAAGCAGTAAGGGTAGTACAATACACACAGGTACAGTAAGGGGTAGTACAATACACACAGGTGTGGTACAGCAGTAAGGGGTAGTACAAGCACACAGGTGGTACAGCAGTAAGAGGTCAGTACAATACACACAGGTGGTACAGCAGTAAGGGTAGTACAATACACACAGGTGGTACAGCAGTAAGGGTACACAATACACACAGGTGATACAGCAGTAAGAGGTACAGCAGTACAATACACACAGGTGGTACACACACATGGTACAGCAGTAAGGGGTAGTACAATACACACAGGTGGTACAGCAGTAGTACAATACACAGGTGATAGCAGAGTAGTACAATACACACAGGTGGTACAGCAGTAAGAGGGTAGTACAATACACACAGGTGATACAGCAGTAAGAGGGTACAATACACACAGGTGGTACAGCAGTAAGCACACACACAGGTACAGCAGTAAGAGGGTACACACACAGGTGGTACAGCACACACACAGAGGTAAGTAGTACACACACACAGGGTACAGTAAGAGGTAGTACACACACACAGGTGGTACAGCAGTAAGAGGCAGTAAGGTGATACAGCAGTAAGAGGTAGTACACACACACAGGTGGTACACAATACAGCATAAGAGTCACAAGGTACAGCAGCAGTAAGAGGTACAACACACAGGTGGTACAGCAGTAAGGGGTAGTACAATACACACAGGTGGTACAGCAGTAAGGGGTAGTACAATACACACAGGTGGTACAGCAGTAAGAGGTAGTACAATACACACAGGTGGTGCAGCAGTAAGGGGTAGTACAATACACACAGGTGGTACAGCAGTAAGGGGTAGTACAATACACACAGGTGGTACAGAGGAACGTAATTGGTCCCTCAGGTGTACTAACGAGTCTTTACACCTTGACATAAATTTGAGTCAACGTTGTGTAGTGAATTACTTATGACAGCCACACCTAAGACAGACAGACAGACGAGAAACAGACGACAGACAGACAGACAAATTATTTATTTTATAGATAGACAGAGAGACAGAAAGAGAAAATACGGTAGGACAGAGAGAGAGAGAGAGAGAGAGAGAGAGAGAGAGAGAGAGAGTCCTTCACTTACGTATAAAAATTTTAGTTGATGCAGTAATATCATGTTTAACCTTCTCCTCCTATTTTTCTCCTCTTCTCCTCCTCCCCTTCCTCCTCTCCTTTCTCTTCTTCCCCTCCTCCCATTCCCCTATCCTCCCCTTCCTCCCCCATATTCTACATTCCATTCGTCCTTTCCTTAATGTCTAACACCATCTCCCCACATTACCTCCCCTTATCTTTTTTCACTTCCCTTTATCCTCATCTCCCCGTCTCCCCTCCCCACCCCCCCAACTTCCTTCTTTCCTCCCTATGTCTCTCCCTCCCTCCTTGTTATTCCACAGTATGTTCCTGTCTTCACGTCTTTCCTCGCTACTGAGAGCTTCCCGGCTGGTGGGGAGGAGACAGGAACTGAGAATGAGGTGTATCTCGTCCAGTAAGAGGGAAGGACAGAAGAAGAGGAGGAAGAGAGATGAAGAGGAGAAGAAGAGGGAAGAAGAGGAAGTGGAACACTATGATGTGGTCGTCTCTGGGCTTTTTCATTAGGTCAGAATAAGAGATTTAGCGATAGACGGATCTTGCTGCTGGAAGGGGCCCCAAACAAGTCCTGGACTCCGCCGGGGAATTCAATAACCGCGTGTGTGATCTCAGCGGCCACACCCAGAACCTCTTCCGCAAGTTGGGTGCTTGGGGTCACATCGAGGGTATTCGAGCCCAGCCTGTGAGACGGATGCAGCTATGGGAGTCGTGTTCCGAGGCGATGATGACGTTCGACGAGCAAGATCAAGAGGATGTCGTCGCCCACATCGTCGAGAATGACGTCATCCTCCACGCCATCAAGCAACAAGTACCGGATCAGGTGGAGGTGGAATACAACACAAAGGTCGAAGGTTACGAGCTACCTCTCGACCCTTCCTCTCGAGTGACCATCTCTCTCCATGACGGCAGGAAGCTCTCCGCAGATCTCCTGATAGGAGTCGACGGTGCCAAGTCTCTAGTACGACCAGACCATGGGCACTCAAAACCTGGGCTGGGAGTACGACCAGATGGGCATTGTGGCGACGCTGTAGTTATCCGAGGCAGTAGACAACACTGCAGCCTGGCAAAGGCTCTTTCCCACGGGCCCTGTCGCTCTTCTGCCGCTATCGGATGGCCGCAGTTCCCTCGTCTGGTCGACCACGAAGGAACACGCCCGAAAATTTTTACTGCTTTCGGACGAGGAGTTTACCGATGCCCTCAATAGAGCTGCCTGGGACGAGGGCAGCAGCAATCAGATGGTCCAGACAGTACACGAGAGATGGATGAAGATTCTGGACACGATCACCCCCAGTAGCAGCGCTGATGTACGACAGCGTGAGTGCCGTCGTCCCTGCCACACGAGGAGCCTTCCCCTTGGGCCTCGGCCACTCTGTTCACTACGTCGCTTCGAGGGTCACTCTTATAGAGGACGCAGCGCACCGCGTACATCCGCTGGCCGGTCAGGGCATCAACTTGAGGTTCGGTGACGTGGCGGCCCTCACCGACACCCTCGAGAGTACCGTCCTCCTTGGTGCCGACATCGGTGACCTGTGGTGTAGTGGTCAGCATGCTCGCCTTGCAAGCGAGTGGCCACAGGTTCGATCTCCGGGCAGGGTGAAAATATGGGCAAGTTTCTCTACGCCATTTGCCTCTGTCTCCCCAGCAGTAATTAGGAACCTGAATATTAATCGATTGGTGGATCGTTTTCCGGGCTAATGGTTAGCCAGTGAAGTTGGTGAGTTGTCCGGTTTTCTCGGAATATTCCTTGACACTGGGTCGTGCAACTTGTTAACTCAGGGTGTGGTTGTTGTGTTGGCGACAGTTTCTACACCTTAAACAAATTCACGCCTAGGTGGCCCTAGGGCCGGCCATCGTCGTACACGAGGGGCAACCATTATTATTTATTATGCCTGAGCGTCTGCGTGAGCGCCTACGTCTGTACCTGCGTGAGTGTCTATATCTGTACCTGCCGTCTGCGTAAATGTCTGCGTCTGCGTTAGCGTCTACGTCTGTACCTGCGTATGCGTTAGTGTCTGTATCTGGAGCGTCTGCGTGTGTCTACATCTGCATGTCTGCGTGAGCGTCTACGTCTGTATCTCCCGTCTGCTTCTTTCCTTTATGTTGTTCATCTTATTGTATGTCAGTGAGAGTTATATTGGCTTTGCGGTCGCCATAATCTGGAGAGCAAATGAGCGGATTGTGTTTATATTACAACGGAGGGTCAGCACTGCATGGTCCCCTTGATCACATTACCTTACTGCTGTGGTTCGTTGATTGATTCATGAATGCTCTCCTCTGATTCGCTGAAAACTCTCCAACCATTAACTCCGATTGATGGTCGCGTACACATTCTAGTGACGTATTTTGTTTACGCTATAAATATGAAATTGATTTATGAATGAAGTTTGTTTTGTAAGACTGCAAATAAAGTCACAAATACAGTAAGTGATCATATACCTAAAACTATTAATTAAACAAAGATTCCCCAACCTGGTACACACACACCTTCGGCCTTAATATTCTCAATATTTGATTTAAAGAGAAAACATTAACAATTTCAGGTGCTTCTTGGTAGTTAACACTACAGGTGAGGTGAATACACTACTGTGGTAGACGGTGTGGTGTGATGGTGCACTGAAGGCTGTTGTGACCTAAGACGTTAACTTACATGACGTCAGTCGAACCATACATATACCAAGATATACCACCATACATATACCAAGATATACCACCATACATATCTTTATACCTTGACGTATACATAGCCTTACGTCATACTCTCTCTCTCTCTCGTGTGTGTGTGTGTGTGTTCCGCTAAATAGGGATAGTCACCGATTAGGCTTTAAAAAGCAAATGACGTTTTTACTAAATAGAAAAAAACTGTATATTTATTGCTACCAATTGATGGACATAAATTAATAGGTGGTAAAATTGGTTAAATTTCTTTAAAACGTCATTTTCCATCATAATTAGCCAAATTATACCTATTGTAGGTTAGGTTAGGTTGCGTTACGTTACGTTACGTTACGTTAAGTAAGTTAAAGATAGGTGAGGTAAGGGGAAGTTTTTTATTAAACTATTCATTTATGTGTTGGGATGAACTACATGGTCGCCTACAGTAGGTCAGTCACAAGTCTCCAAAATAAGATGAGATTGAACTGACAGTAGAGCCATATATTACTTTATTATTAAATGTAAAGCTACAAAAATAGAAGTGAAAGAGGGATCTATAGAACGATGAATCCCAAGCCTTTGGTGTAATAAGAAGCAGCGGTCGACACTGCACTGAGAAGCTTTCACTTTCCTTAGCTATGGAGTTAGACACCCACTCATAGCTGAATGGACTGGAGGTTCCCCGGGTATGATCCAGCGGAATGGGAGCGGAGAGTAAAAATTAGATGATATCAACAGGAAGGAATACAAAAATATTTAATCTGGCTAGAAAGGTCAAAAACGACCATAGATCATCTTGATATAACCCCCGTAATGATCACACACACACACACACACACACACACACACACACACACACACACACAAACTACTACTACTACTTTGCTGTCACTCGGAATCAAGTATGACGATCATCCAGCTATGATACAATGATATGAGTTATTAAGGATGTTACATAGGTTGGTGAGTTTTGAGGTGACTAAAGAAGCCGATACGGGACCGGCAGTGTGTGTGTGTGTGGTGGAGAGAGAGAGAGAGAGAGAGAGAGAGAGAGAGAGAGAGAGTTATTTTTCAAGCATCCTCGACACTCTCATATGTTTTTACGACACTGGTGAGATTCCCTTAAAAAAACACGGGAGAAAAATGATAAAAAACTCGACCTTCAAGAGCAAGCCTTTTACATCACACCCTTTTCCAACTCCCTCCAACATCCCCCAACACCCCCAACACTCTCCAACACCACCCAACACCACCCAACACCCTCCACCAACCCCCTCCCTACCCCCTATCATGATTCCTCTCAAGACATCAACATATTTCAAACACAAAAACACACTTACCCCAAATTAATGAGACCTGATTAACGAGAGCTGATTAACGAGAGCTGATTAACGAGACCTGATTAACGAGACCCCAAATTAACGAGACAATGTCAGCTAGTAGTGTTTAAGATCATTTTGTGTACTCTCTGCCTGGTTAGACACGAGAAAGAGGGGTTCAGGCGTGTCTGTGTGTGTGTGTGTGTGGTTTGTCCCTTACACAGATGAAGCACAGATGAAGAGAAAGAAGGGAAAAATAATGGATAGGTATGGAGAGAGAGAGAGAGAAGGGGAGAGAGATAGACAAAGAAAGAATGGTAGATAGATAGGAAAAAAAGGAAAGGAGGTAAATGGATAGAAAAATTGAAAAGAGAGAGAGAGAGAGAGAGAGAGAGAGAGAGAGAGAGAGAGAGAGAGAGAGAGAGAGAGAGAGAGAGAGAGAACTTGATAGCCACCTGCCACACCTTCACCTGTCCCTCACCTACTGCATAACCCAACACAAGACCATCTGCCCTCTGAGTCACACACACACACACACACACACACACACACACACACAAGTGCCTTTTCCACCATGTAATAATAATACTCTTAATTACTTCCTAAATACAGAGATAAATAATATTTTAAACTTCTTTATACTATTATGTATTTTCATTTGATAACAAAAATGTATATCATATCACACAAGCCGATTATATAACGTTATAATTCCCTGATATGCTTGGTGAGTATGCTCTTAACGCTAAATATATCTGTAGTATGCTTTTCTGTCTTAATTGTATGTTTTATTTTTCAGTGTGTGTGTGTGTGTGTGTGTGTGTGTGTGTGTGTGTGTGTGTGTGTGTGTGTGTGTGTGTGTGTGTGTGTGTGTGTGTGTGTGTGCTATTACCTAAGAGTTATTTGTAATATTACGAATAGTATCATATAATGCCAGTGAACTGAAACAATATTGGTCAAGGGAGAGAGAGAAGGAGGGAGAGAGGAAGGAAAGAGAGAGAGAGAAGGAGGGAGAGGAAGGAAAGAAAGAGAGAGAGAGAGAGAGAGAGAGAGAGAGAGAGAGAGAGAGAGAGAGAGAGAGAGAGAGAGAGAGAGAGAGAGAGAGAGACATACATACATACATACATACATACATACACACATATTTTCCAGAAACCTTTGTTAGGTTAAGACTTAGATTATGGTAGGTTAGACTAAACTTAGGTTAGGTTAAATCCAGGTTTGTTTTCTTAAGTAAGGTTAATAAACTCATAACTTTATCCTATATTTCACCAAGTAAATAAGGCCAAGATACCTGACCCTTGTGGCGATAACCTACACCAGAAGCTCTTCACGCTCACCTCCCTCTACATGATAACATTGACCCCGAAGTAGAAAAAATATAAATAATGGGATATATAGTTATGGTGTTTCTGTCCGTCCAACCATCCATATTTCTGTCCATCCGTCCATCCGTCCGTCAATCCGTTCGTCCGTCCGTCCGTCCGTCCATCCGTTCGTCCGTCCATACGTCCGTCCGTCCGTCCGTTCGTCCGTCCGTCCATACGTCCGTCCATCCATCCGTCCGTCCGTCCGTCCATCCGTCCATCCGTCCGTCCGTCCATCCGTAGATCAATAAACAAATACTTCTCTACACCACAACATCAAGTTTTCTTCACTGAGACCACACTTCACACGTGAGGTCTTGAGAGCCTTATCGATTATGGTCAAACTCTGGAAGGAGGAAGACCACTGAAGGATGTAAACTATAACAGGTTAGGTTAGGTTAGGTTAGGTTAGATTAGGTTGTTTAGTTTTGTTTAAGATAAATGTGGTTATGTTAGGTTAAGTTAGGTTAGGGTAGGTTAGGTTAGGTTTGGTTAGGTTGTTTGGTTTTGTTAAGATAAATGTGGTTATGTTAGGTTAAGTTAGGTTAGGTTAGGGTAGGTTAGGTAAGTTAAATTTACTTAACTTGGGTTGCTAGTTGTAACTTTTATTAATTAGGTCTGGCAGTGTAACGACCTCTTGCACTTACGTTCTCTTATAGATAATGGTAATTGTTATTGTCTTTAATAGAGAGTTAATTGGATAACACCGGATCTCTCTCTCTCTCTCTCTCTCTCTCTCTCTCTCTCTCGGAATGGGTTGCTGTTGTAAGTTAAGGAAGATTTATAGTCCCAGAGAGAGAGAGTGAGTCTGATAGTAGTTGTCAAGTGAGGAGAGGTACTGAGAGTATGGGCTATAATAATTCACT